CGTGAACCGGTGCCTGGGTTTGACCTGAAAGCGGGGCTGGAGACTTGAGTTTTTCTGCCAACAGAGGCAGCAGGGGGCGGGGCGCGCCCCCCAGAATGTGCCGGGCTTTTGATGCCGCGGTCGGAGGACCCCTCCCGCCTTTCTGGGAGGCTGCCGGAAAAGAGGCGCTCCCCCCATTAGGCATCACTGCGGCGCCGGGGTCTGAACGCGGCTGCGCTCCCAAAGGGCAGAGCAGCAGGTAAACTCCTCCCAGGAGGGAGACTCCACAGCCGCCCTGGGCCCTGCAGGCCGGGCCAGCACATTCCCTGCAGCCCTGCGGGGGGACCCAGGGCAGAGACAGCAGGGCACAGACCTGCCCCCCCCCCACACACACACACGTGTTAATATCTGCGCCGCTCACAGCCGCCTCTGCACAGATTGCGGGGGTGGGGGGGCTCGCAGTCCTCGCTGCCTTTTCCTGCAGCCCTCCCCCCCCCATTACTCTGCACTTGCTGCAGCCTCGGGGGCTAAAGAGTCTCCCCGGGCTGGGGACCTAAGGGCGCAGCTCGACGCTGTTGGTTCGAATCCCTCCGGGAAGTTGCTTTGGGACCTCGGAGGTTCCTCTGCGCCTCGCAGTTTGCTCCGGCGCTTTGCTTGGTATTTTTGGCCGAGGCCAACCCGAGCCAGAAGAGGGGGAGTCTGAAAGCGCGCCCCCCCCCTCCGCCCACGAGATCGATTCTCTGAATGGAGCTAACCTTTCCATGGCATGCAGGGGTGAGTTCGAATCCCTCCGGGAAGTTGCTTTGGGACCTCGGAGGTTCCTCTGCGCCTCGCAGTTTGCTCCGGCGCTTTGCTTGGTATTTTTGGCCGAGGCCAACCCGAGCCAGAAGAGGGGGAGTCTGAAAGCGCGCCCCCCCCCTCCGCCCACGAGATCGATTCTCTGAATGGAGCTAACCTTTCCATGGCATGCAGGGGTGAAACGTAAATATTTTTTGCCTGTTTTGCTTCCCAGAGCAGTGCTTTCTTCTCCCTTGACTTTCCAGGACCTGCTACGCCCAGAGCCATTTGGCAGCTGCGAGGGAGTTTTTGTGTGAATAATAATAATAATTAATAATAAATAATGAGACAAACACGCAGAAGTGTAACCTACTGGAGTGATTTGGGGGAAAGTAAATTAGAAGAATCCTCGGCCTGCCCATAACATTTTATTACCAGATTCCTCAGTTTTAGCCCCAGACCCATATCAAGTATAACAGCCCTCCTCTGGGAGACGTCCCCAAGATGTGGAGAGAGAGAGACATTAGGGAAAAATTTGGGATTTAAAAAGAAAAACCCGAGGGCTGGCTTGCTGAAAGGGGCCATCTTTTATCTTCCGTATTTCCATACTTTTCCGCCGTACAGAAAGAGAGAGAGTCTGAATTTAAACATCTGTATCCATGCACATGCACACACATCTGTACTTATGTGCATCCAAGAGTTTGACTGTGTGTCCCCATCTTAGAGATCTGATCCTTCTCCTCTGGACCCAGTATGTAGTGCGGGTGTCGGTGTTCACACATCTACACCAGTTTGTTTGGACAAACCCTGGAGGCCTCATGAAGTTGTGGAACGTGGGAAGGGTTTTGCAAGCGGTTTTTTGCTACTTCCAAGCCCTAGAAAACTTGACACGGCAGATGTTTTGGAGGAGAATCAAAACAATAGGCGGCTGCTGCTGTCTTGCCTATGACAAAATCAAAAGCTATCTGGGTGTTGTCTATTCTGACAGCAACTCACTTTCCAAAGAAGGCAGGTTGCCCTTTGGTTTACAGACCTAGCTAACCCAGATGCTTCGAGCGTTCCCCACTGCTGGCAGCCTTTTTCTTCAAAGGGGTGTCTTCCGTGATCCAGCCATTAGGGTAAAAAATGAGCTCACATCTGCCTGCATTTGTTTTGGGAAGGGGAACATTATTTAAACAACTGCATCTCCATTAAATGGGGGCGGGGGAGGGAGCGGAAGACAGAACCTCCTAGTTTCTAAAAGATGGATAGATATATTCTGTTCCAAGGATTTCTGGGAAGGGCAGTTGAACAAGATTTCACAGGAGACAGTATAATATATTTTACTACAATCTAAATCTATTACATCAAGTGGATTTCTTTGGTCTATGAATTTTGCCTATCCCCATACACCCCATCTCTCTCTCTCTATTTATCCATATGTACATAAAAAGATGGAAGTATGTTATATTATGGTATGGTACCGTATGGTGTGGTGTGGTGTGTGTTATGTTCAGCCTTACATTTTATTACACTCATATATAATTCCCTTAATAACAACAATAATAAGTAATACAGTCTTATTTCCCACAAAATTTAATTAATCCCACTTTAGGAAAGGAGGCTGTATCTCTTTCTTTGTTGATATCTAGCTAGCTAGTTATATGAAAGGGTTCTAGCTTCATTTCCTGTGTGTGTGTGTGTGTGTGTGTGTGTGTGTGTGTGTGTGTGTGTAGAAAATAAACCCAGACACACCCCAGAACAGCCTGCAGACACACCCCAGAACACACTGGAACACACTCGGGGTCTGCTTCGCCTCGGTCCGTAGCTGGGGCATAACCGTCAGGCCCCCAGCAGATGTCTCAGGTAGAGTCCCAGCCTCACTCCGTGTTGAGATGTAGCCATTCCAGCGCTGTGTTGACAAACACGCTTTAAGGACCCCCCCACCCCAGAATTTCCCTGCAACACGGAGCTGCGGTTCTGGGAGGCATGTTCCTTTAAACAATCCCTCTGCCCTTGTGTTTACAATAAACACATTTTTGCTCACGAAGCCCCCCGCCCACTTGCAGTTTCCACCCCCTCCCTTCCCCAAACTCCATAAAGCGCCCACTTTGCATATCTGAGCCCAGCTCTGTTGCGCTGGGCTCTCCTGAGGTCAAAGGGTCACTCTGGGGGCAGCGGGGTCATTGTATAGCCATCATGGGTCAATAAGCAACTGGTCAGGCTCTCAATCCACATCAGGCCTTGAAGAGGACTGGGAAATGGGAGAATCCATTCATAATAATAATAACCTTGTCAATCAATAACAGGCATGAGAAATACTTTGTAAAAAGTAAAAAAAACCCAACCCTTTCCTTTTCAAAGTTTGACAACATTAAACTTTGCACAGAATGCTAGTTTTAAAAATGCCTGTTTTTACTGCTTTGATATATTTTTTCCGTACATTTTTTTAAAGAGGGAAGATTAGGCATTAAGAAAAAAGTAATTGGGGATATTATTTTTTCTGTGTGAGCTACAGAAGTATGGAATTATATAGAGAGAAAACATTATTTTAAGAGGAGAAGGAAATATTCAAAGCCAAACTTCCTTTTGCAAAAATATTTATTTCTTAAGAAATAATTAAATGTATGCTCTATGCCTTCGCAAGCTTTTTTAGTTTTACATACACTGGACTTTATTCTGCTTTGATTTTTAATACGGTTTTAATTGCAAGCCATAGTTTGTAGTATCATTTTGCATCACAAAGAAAATGTAGCTGCCCAACATTATTTTAATTATAAATTAATGAACAAAATAAAATGCTAGAATCGAGTCAATGATTGAAAGGAAATAAGAGACTTTTATGAGCCTTAATCCTTCTGATGTGGACCAGATTGAAAAAACTCAAACTAGAAGTTCTCCCGATTAAATTTGTTAGAGAAAGGTCTGCTTTTCCCATTTAATAACCCATGAACCTTTTTTTAAAAATAAATGTTTCTGTTTAAAAAAAATCTAAAAACTAAGAAGAGAAATATAATATATAATATATAATCCATTTAATAACCCATGAACCTTTTTTTTAAATAAATGTTTCTGTTTAAAAAAAGTCTAAAAACTAAGAAGAGAAACAATTACATCACAATATAATATAGAAAGCCTCCAAGGCAGATAGAAAAATGATGCAAATTCTCTTCTGGCTTGAAGATTGATGCATGAACTTTTCTGAGGAATCTACAAACTCATTATGTTTCTCTATTTTAGAGGTTTGCTATTCATTGAAAAAAATACAGTTCTCTGTATTGACATCAAGAATAATTTTCAAATGCATTGGGGGGAAACAGGAGTTAAAAAATAAAGTAAAAATGGAAAGTTCCCCCTTCCTTAACCTCCTCCAAATGAACAGAAATTAACAAACATTTCTACAATACTTCTAACAAATAAACAAACAAACAAACGTAAACGTTTTCTTGCAGAAGGAAAGTTCTTTGTTGGAACTATTAGGTTTGATCTGGTTAGGAAAACAAACAAACTTTTTTAAAAGCACTATGTGTTTATTACTAAGTAATTCCCTTCAGCTGCTCTCTAGGAAATGTGGTTTCTTTTAACATACATGGTGAATGACTATCTACTAAAAAATGAGATAAAGCAGAAAGTATGAAAGGGCAAAATGGGTTGTTTTAATTTACTTTCATGAGCGATGCATTTTTTTTTCATTCCACGAAATTATCTCGCCCTCAATTCACTAAAACATGCACATGAACTAAGAAGACAAATAAAACGCAAAAGATCTATTCCTGAAAAGAATACCATTGATTATTCCAAACCGTGAATTGTGTTGCTAAAGTCCTTTGCTAATAGGTTTGGGCATACTTAACCTCAACCATTACAAGACCAGTCTAGGGAAACACAGCTACGATTCTATTATTTGTGGCTGTTTGTGTCTAAGATCTGGGTTTTTACCCCCAAGCAACATGCTTAAAGGTTTTTAATGTGTTCAGAGTGGCACCATTTGGTCTGAGGTTTCCTAATTCTCTGGCGAGGCCTTTCCTGGAGGCTTCAACCCAGCAATTTTGGTTCTATTACAGCGTGCCTCTATGTCCTCCCCCATCCCTCCCCGTGTTTTGAACCACTCTTCTCCAAGCAATGATTAGGGGATTGATGCTAATAAATAATATGACTCCACAAAGATGTGAAGCAATTCTGAGCATGTGGAGAGAGCGATTTTACAAAGAAATTGAAAAGTAACACACACACACACACACACACACACACACACACACACACACACAAAATCGAAGTAGGTCGAGTCGCCAAAAGAAAAAAAAGATCAGGAGGAGGAAGATCGTTGTCCACACAATCAAATCTAAGTCACAAATATTGCGGTGTAGTAGTGATCCGCCTAGCCCCAGGATCTGAGAGAGGCGGTGTTCAATCTTTGTATCTTTCATGGTCACTGAGTTGGTGAAAGAGACACGTTTTCCAGCTAGCTCCACACAACTCCCGTGACAACTCTTCACCCACTCTGGCTTTGCAAGGGGGGGGGGGAATAAAAATGTTCTTCCAGTAATGGTCTTGAGTAACACAACCCAAAATGACACTCGCATCCTGACACACAAATACCCCAGCAAACGAGGAACTAGCTAGGGGAGTGGCTAAAGAGATGCATCTTCTGTTGCTTCCAGATTCCTGCTATGAAAATAATCAGACCTACAATCTAGGAGTTAACTTGAGAAGTCCGGGTCGATTAATGGGATTTTTTGCACTGTTATTAAACGTTGACTTAATGCGCTCAAAGGTTCAAAGCCAAGAAGATGTGCATTTCGCAGCTGGTCCTGATTAAATTGTTAAATAGACCACAAGTTGTCCTCTGGGAAGAAACTTTAGCGAATAAAATAGACAGCGCCTGAGAATAGCTACATGTTTTGTGTAACAGAAAGGGGATCTTTCCTGCAGAATAAGACTTGAGGGCATTTGAACGGGCGTGTATGCTGGTAGCATAAAGGTGGAAGCCTGAGAAAGTATTTGCATGCCGTTCCAATGTGCGTGACACTTTCATTTAAGGAAACCTTTGTGACTCTCCAGCCCCATCCAAGCAATCCACACAACTTGCACAGATGGGGTGGGGGTGGGGAGTTTGAATGGTGCCCCTTAACTCGCCATTTCTGCAATTTGTAAAACGCAGCAAAAACTTCAAAAAAAAAAAAAATACCCGGGACAGGAGGTGACAGGAGAAACGGTTTTCATCCAAGCAGTTTAAATACCTGTCGGTAATAAATGGTCCGAATCCCGCTATTGAGTGTCTTAAATCCTGCCTTCTATCCTGCGGCAGAGTTTAGCTTTTAGGGTTACCTGCAGACGTGCTGTCGTTGAAATCCCACGTTTTTGTAAAAGTTCATACATGAAAAGGCCCCCTTGCAATATTTTCCTGGCCCTTCCTACGTCTCCTGCAAAGTGCTAACCCCCCTCTGCGAACCTACCGAGCGTTTTTTCAGACTTCACCCACTTCAGAGAGGTGCCTGCATGAGAACTGATTTGAAAACCTACCTAGCCTCGCCAGCCTCTGCTGGAAAGGATGAGGTCACGCTTTCCCTGCACGGCTATTTTATCCCGAAATAAGTACCCCGTGTTTACCCCCAGTCGCCAGTTAGCTCGAAATATTTTTTGAAACAAAGGCCGCGCTGTTTCGCCATTCCCATAAACCACCTTGCACTGTAAGGGATGGCTCGGAATAGCGCGTTATTTTGAAATTTGGCGCTCCGCCAAATTTCAAAATAACGCGCTATTTCGAACCATCCCTTTGGCGCGCCGCCAAATTTAAAATAACGCGCTATTTCGAACCATCCCTTTGGCGCGCCGCCAAATTTAAAATAACGCGCTATTTCGAACCATCCCTTTGGCGCGCCGCCAAATTTAAAATAACGCGCTATTTCGAACCATCCCTTTGGCGCGCCGCCAAATTTAAAATAACGCGCTATTTCGAACCATCCCTTTGGCGCGCCGCCAAATTTAAAATAACGCGCTATTTCGAACCATCCCTTTGGCGCGCCGCCAAATTTAAAATAACGCGCTATTTCGAACCATCCCTTTGGCGCGCCGCCAAATTTAAAATAACGCGCTATTTCGAACCATCCCTTTGGCGCGCCGCCAAATTTAAAATAACGCGCTATTTCGAACCATCCCTTTGGCGCGCCGCCAAATTTAAAATAACGCGCTATTTCGAACCATCCCTTTGGCGCGCCGCCAAATTTAAAATAACGCGCTATTTCGAACCATCCCTTTGGCGCTCCGCCAAATTTCAAAATAAGCTATTTCGAAATAGATTGGAGATAAGATACGCCATTTGCGAAGCGGGAATTGGGGAGCTTCTTTCGAATATAGGGTGCAGCCCAACTCTCATCCAGCTATGTTCCTGTTTTCTCCAAAAAACTTCTCCTCGGTTTGTTTGTTTGTTTGTTTGTTTGTTTGTTTAAACTCCAAAGGGCCTTGAACTTGACAGCCCTGCAAATGAGTTTCCAGCTGCTCCACCGCAACCAAACAAAGCAGCAGCTTGTTTTTTATTTTCTCACCCACCCTCAGTTTAAATCACCAAAAGGACGCGAGCGGTGTGCGTGGGGGAAGGGGGGCAGTGTAAACCACACGCGAGAAATTCCAGCTTGGGATGGTGGGTGTCTTAGGAAAGCGATCGTATCAGACCGTCTTGCTCTTTTATCACTTTGATTCAAGTCGGGTCTATTGTGTCCGGTCAGACCGAACATTCTTTAAGTGCATTTCCTTCCTTCCTTCCTTCCTTCCTTCCTTCCTTCCTTCCTTTTTTTTAAGACGAGCGGGAAAGCAATCCCAATGCAACTTTTTCATGTCGATTTTTTGGGGGAGCCGCATCTGCCCTCCATGTTGAGTGCTCAGCTTAAATTCCTTTGATCCCCCCCACAGCCCCCCACTCTGAAACGCGCATTCTTTGGCACGCCTATAACCTGGTGCCAGGGACTCCATAGACTCCTTCTGCGCTGCGGAAGAGACCCTTTGTAGTGTCTCCTTGGTTTATTCTTAAAACAAGCGGCGGGGATGTGTACCCTGCCTGGCAGCATGCACATCGGTGTGAGGAGAGTACGGAGCGGAGCCCAGACTCTGGTGGATGGACTCCCCCGTCTGTCATTGGAATCCTTCGGAGATGGGGTTTTGGGGAGGGTTTTTTTTGGACGAGTTCTGCGTACAGACCCGTTTTAATAGCTGCCTGGAAGTTCACTGCATTCATTGGTAGCCGGGACTGAGCGGGAAGGGGGAAGGGAAGAGACGAAGAGATATGTGTGTTGGTGTTTTTGCATGTGTGTGTGATACATCGGCGTGTGTTTTTGCACTTCCGTGTCACCGGAATTGGAGCGTGATTTAAAACTCAACCTTCCTTCTGCCTCTCCGCGCTCTCTTCGTTGGGTTGCACATGGATAAAATGTACCGGCACAAAGGGGAAGGAAGCTAAGGCAGGCACCAGATTGTTTCCTTTAGTTTGTCAATCAATTGCATCTGTAAATTTCCTTTCTCTCCAACCCTTCTCCACCGCGAGGGACCGAGAGATGGGGGTTAAGTGGCCTCTCTCGAGTGTGGAGTACCTTGGACATGAGACTCTTCCCCCAAACCTGGAAACTTTTATTGCATCCTGCGGAAACTGACCCGAGCGGTCTAAGGAAGAAATCTCCCAGCTCTGCCTTATGGATCAAGATTCCCGCTTGAGATCACCACAGCCCCATTGTCTTTTCCATTCGTGTGCAAGGGATTGAACCAGGAAGAGATTGGAAAATGCATATCCTCCCCCCCACGCACTCCCCCTCCCCATGAGATCTGGGACTATAGACACGAGGGAGGAAGGTGATGGGGAGTTCTCTGCTCATCTTACAAACTGCCATCACTTGCAATTATTTCATCCTTTTGGTTGGAATAACCCACCACCCAAATAACTGTTGTATAAGGAAAAGAGCAACAACCAGAGACCGAGCAATCGATCGCGACACTGGGAAATTATTTTGAAATAATAACTCCTGTGTGAGGAATTATATTATTTCGGGAGTCATTAGTTGGAAATAATAGCTTGGGCTGCACTAGGGTCTATTTTGAAAGAACGACTGCTGAAATAAGTCTTAATTTCCAGAAACAATTATTTCGAAAGAACTGTCTATGGTAGGCCAGGTTATAGCAACTACCTCCCTCACCTCTTCCCTCCTCCTAACAATTTGCAGCAACAAGCTGCTACAGAATCCGCTCACTACTCCCTTCCCATCCTCTACGATTTTAACTATACCCCCTCACTGCATGTAGAAACTAGGGCTGAGAAGTGGGGCTTTAACACAAGGCAGAGGAAATGTAGAATGTGACATTTTCTTTCCTTAGAAGGGCCATGAGAGAGAGTGTTGGACAAAACTCTCTCTCTCTCTCCCTCTCTCTCTCTCTCTCTCTCTCTCTGTGTGTGTGTGTGTGTGTGTTGGACAGGGCTCTGTACAGTGTGTATGTTATTATTGGCGCCTGCTTTAGAAAATAGATCTTCAGTGAAGATGTGGAATTTGGTACCGTGTTAAATGAGGGATCAAAAAAGTCCATTTAAATCGGGGAGATCGGTCCCAAATTAAAAACAACGTCGGGTTTATTAATAAATTTAGCAGCGCATCTATTCAGGAGTGTGACATCTTCTTTTTAAATTAGAATCATTTGTGGTCGGTCACACATAGCGCTTCGCAACTTAATAAATAAGAAACACACAATGCTTTCATTGGGCGACCCCTCACACTGGAAATTGACGAGAAAAACAGGGACAGGATAAACTCCACCTTTCCTTTAAAGGCGACTTTAAAGCTGGGACTTCCCTTCTTCCAAAACTTCCCGAGGTAACAAAGTCCCCCAAGTGACCTATGACTGAGCGTTCTATTCACTCCTCTGCCAACCCCCATCCGGCAGCTTTCAGGTTTAAAGGGGTTTAAAGGGGAATCGGTTCTGATGGAACAACAGAATAACTCTCCAAGGGTATGTCTACACTACCACCCTAGTTCGAACTAGGGTGGTAGTGTAGACATACCCCGATGGGGTAAGCATGGAAGGGTTACGGTGACGAGTCGCTAGGTTTTCACGTGCCACCAAGAAATCGGGGGCTTTGCAGTTTGCAATAAAGTTAAGTAACGGCCAAAATCATTAATTCTGCCAGCATTAGTAAATAAATCAAACAGAATCCAGAAGTTTGGGACTAGATAGATAGATAGATAGATAGATAGATTAAATAAAACAAAATCTATAATAGATAGATACATTAAATAAAACAAAATCTATAAGCTTGGGAGGGAAAAGATGAGAAGGGAAGAAAAACGGATGAATGAAAAAGAAAAGAAACCCGTGTCTTCGCTTGTGATAATTACTATTATCAATAAATATAGTAATTGGCCATTAACCAACACTGGACTTCAGTTTATAAGATGGATGGTTAGAGTCCATCGTTCTGAACTAAAAGCAGTGATTTTTTTTAAAGCATGGCTAAACCCCCAGGAAAAAATTGTGTTGTAAAGAAAAGGATAACGTCTAGGAAAATCATTCAGAATCCAGAAGCGATCAAACACAATCGATACACCGACAGCTGCAAAAACGGTGATTTCTTAACAAAGAAGACAGCGTTAAAATAACCCTGGGAACGCAGCATAAATGTTTTCAAACAGTCAAGCTAGAATGCGCTCCTAATGTTAGCGTGCACAGTTGTACGGGGACGCATGTGTGTTTTTCAGGGCGGTGGGCACATGCCTGATACTACATAATATCTGCATAAAATAGAGTCGCACGCACAGAGTCCAACCTGCCTGTAGCTAATCCGGCCAACACTTGATATTCGTCCGGATAGCAGCAGCGTGACTGTAACATGAAAAGGGTTTTTTTTAGTAGTGTTTTACATGGGGGTGGGGGGAAATGTTGGGGGCTTTATGACATCACAAGGTGAAAGTATCCAATCCGCTCGCAGATGTGAGAAATTATTTGGTGGGGTGTTTCCTCTCATCTACTGTACTCCGGCAGCTTGTCTTTAAGAAGGTGGGAGCGACGTGGTGCCCCCACCCCCGTCCTTGCCAGATTTCCTGCTATAGCATTTTTCTCTCCCACGTCCCCAGCTTTGTTGGCTTCCGCATCTTCATGGCATTGCAGCGCGCAAGGGGAGCTGCGCGCTTTGGCCAGAGGGGTGATTTTTTAAAGCAATCTTGGACGCTGCAGGATGTTTGGCTTCTTTCTTTTTCTTTCTCTCCCTCTGCCCTTTTTGGCCGGGGAGGGGGAAGGGGAGAGATCCAGCCCTAGTGCAGCGGGAGGAACTGGGATGTTGCGAATCCTTAACCGGGTTTGAACTGGAAATCGACCGCTTAGCAGCTGGGGACTTCCCCCCTCTTTTGGTTTGATTGTGGGTTGGGGTTTGCGACTGAGGAGTGGGGGGCCCAGAGGTCCATGCCCCCGAGGCGAGAGACAAAGTACCTGCCCCTGGCAAAATGTTCCTGGCCTGCAAAGGGACCTTCGGGATTGTGCCCGGCAGCATGGATTACAAAGGGGAATTCCAGACCGGCTACCAAGAAATCGAAGGGATAAACCTGGGATACTTACAGGTCAACGGCACCCAGATGTTCGCTCTGGCCCAGGTCCTTAGCGACCTGTTTAAGGATATCCCCCGCACCACCATCAGCAAGAAGATGGAGACCTTGAAAATCAAGAGCCGGCGCTGCGACCTTCGGGAGCTGCGGACCCTCAAGGCCATCCGCTCCGTGCCCACCCGGGCAGTGAAATGCTCGCTCATCTCCAAGGCGGACCTGGAAGCGCTCTGCTCCTCCTGCAAGGGCCTCGGCCCCGGGCGGAGGAAGAGGAAGAGGAGGGAGCAGCTGCCTGCGGGCCCCCGGGGTTCGGTTCGGCTGCCCCCGGCAGCAGCTGCTGGCCCCGTGCAGAGCTGGCCCCTACTGCGCTCAGGAGCCGGGGATCCGCGCCAAGCTGGCCCCCGCGCCGACCGGGCTCTTGGGGGAGCCCTTCGGACCAGGCTTCCGAAACTATGACAAAGCCACCCGGGGCAGGAAGGGCCAGGGGCTGGGCGGGCGCGGGGGGCTCTTT